TCTATCTTCGTCTACGAAAAGTTGGCGATACTCACAGGTTTGCTGAAGAGTTAGTTATGATGAATCTTCTGTAGCATAATGAACTCTAAGTAAGATTGGCAGGAAGCTTCCTTACCTTAAAATGGGAGCAATCCGTAAAATGGACATCGGTAATTTTACTTGGCTGGTAAGGCCAAGGCCAGCCTTCGTCATCGTCGAATGTTGCATTCACGCCTGAACTCAAACACACTAATCTACAATTCCACCTCTTCAAAAGGATAGTGAAAGCTGTTTTTGTATGCAGTAATAATATTAGGTTGTCCGGAAAGTTCTCAGCGTTTTGTGCACCTATTTTTTGTACATTCACTGCTGATTAAAAACTCATTCTGCCTTGCTTCTCAGTAGCACATCCTGTAGAGAATTTCTTGCGCTATCTGATGGTATAATTGCCGTTTCACCATTGCTTGATAAACCCCCTTTTTTCAAGATTTTTTCAAGCATGTGAAAAGAGCACTTCGGACGATTTTTTTCTTCGACTATAAATTGGGGCAATCCGCAATCGAAACAGCTCAACAAATTAACCAGGTGTGGGGGCCCAATAGTGCTAGAGAAAGCACTGTGCGGCAATGGCTCAACAAATTTCGTTCTGGAGATTTCAGCCTTGAAGATGAACCTCATAGCGGTCGACCTAAAGCAATATCTGACGAGGATTTTAGGGGGATTTTGGAGGCTGACCCATCCCAAACAGTTCGAGAGATAGCAGAAGAGCTAGGCCTTGGCAAATCCACTGTTGCAGATGGTCTGGAACGCATTGGGAAGGTGAAAAAACTCGACAATTGGGTGCCCCACAATCGGAGTGACCGGCAGGAATCGGCACGTCTCGAGGTTCCTTCTGCATTGCTTTTGCGCAGCAGAAACGACCTGTTTTTGGGCCGAATTGTCACCTGTGATGAAAAATGGGTCATGTATGATAACAGGAGACGTTCCGGACAGTGGTTGGATTTCGACGAACCACCGAGGTAATTTTCAAAGCCGAACCCTCACGAAAAAAAGATTCTGGTCACGGCTTGGTGGTCATCGGCTGGTGTGATCCACTATAACTTTTTATCACCAGGCCAAACCATCACAGCAGAACCCTACTGTGAAGAAATCGACGAAATGTACCGAAAATTTTGTCAGCTGCAGCCACACTTATCAAAAGGGTCCGATTCCTTTGCATGACAACGCCCGCCCACACGTTTCACAAATCACTATCCATAAATTGAACGAATTGGGGTTGAAGTTCTACCTCACCCACCATATTCTCCAGACCTTTCACCAACCGACTGTCACCTTTTCAGACATTTTCAGAACTTCCTTGCTGAAAAATACTTCATCAATTAGGACCAGGCAAAAAAGACCTTCGTAGATTTCGTGGATTCTCGACCACCCAGTTTTTTCTTTGATGGGATTTCTCGACTGCTGTCACATTGGCAAAAGTGTGCTGATTCGAATGGTGCTTATTTGGATTAAATCCGATGAGTGTTAAGAAAGTTATGATCGTTTAAAGTTAAACACCCAAAACGCTAAGAACTTTCCGGACAACCTAATAATAAAGCACAAACAGTGCAAAAAGGTAATTTTCAACTTGCTCTGCCTAAAGGATCCATTCTCTTTGCAGAGTTTCGTCGCTATAGAAGCTTTACTTACAAGGCCATTTCATATTTGAGAAGCCGAAAGATTACTATTTATGCCACCTCAGATGCTATGCAAACGACCCAAGAAAGGCCAAGGGCACTCATGTAATGCGCAACATGCTTATTGAATCCATAGAGTCTACACTAACCTCGATTCCGATTAATCGCAGAATGTAGCTGATACAGTCGCAATAAGTCGATGGTGAGCAGTGTCATGAGGGGTGGATTGAGCCTGCCTCTGGCTGCGTTTTCTCAGCAACAGTGATCGGTAGGGCTGCGTTCATACTTTCCGGCAAAGTCCACCAGCGTCTGCCGGCGTCCACCAGCGAGTGGAGAGTATAGCAAAGTGGGAGGGAGGAAACAGCTGAACTAGACGTCGAAATTCGGGGTGTACGTAGTACCGTACTCCTTGCTGGTGGACGCTGCCGCAAAGTATGAACGCAGCCTAGTGATTGATTTATGAAGAGAACAACCAATGTGGAGGTCTTCGCAGTGTTCAAATCCCACCCTCCGCCCCCCCCCCCCTCCTCCTCCGACCGATATTGTGACGATATCAACTGTAACAGTAAGTAACCAAGATGTTTTGTTTTAATGCTGATCACTGAAGCAGGTGTTTGTTGTGGTCCTCCATGTTTCCCGTTTGAAATATAATTTGTCATTCATCAGCTTTTCACTCGTAGGTACCCTCAGATTCTGGTCCCACAGATGCTTAAATTTTGCTCAGGAAACTTTATCCTGTGTAGACATTCATCTTCCCCATCGTGTAACCTTACATCGGCCGGTGCAACATCACTGTTTTGTTGGATCATGAATTTGATCTTTAGAAGGCAACAAGGTACTCAGTGCTGGGTATAGTCCTAATCTCCAATTTTTTTTTCAATCCTGTTTCCCTAGCCTGCCTGCTTCTTATTCCTTTCCGAAAAATTTTTCGCTGCAGCTGTCCCTTTGACATGTATCCGATGATGACAACTACAATACAACCCCTAACTTTAGTACAATCGACGGCTTACTATGAACTCCCCCGCTCAAACCGTCGATTTTACAAAAGTTAGAGGCGATGGTAAAAAAAAACTGACTCACCATCCCAGGATGTCGTATCACTAAACTTGCTAATAATATAAAATGCGCATGCGTTCCAGTGAAAAATCAATGCACAGCTTATTACAATTTTCAGTAAGGAAATAATGACCTGAAACGGATGGGCTTTTTTTTGATCAAGGATACTTGCACTTTGATAATGGCGGCGCATTTCTTGCAGCTGCTGACGAAGGGGCGTGTCAGAGGGGACGAGTTTGGCGCCCGTGGCATACTAATACTACCTGACACGCCCCTTCAACTGCATCGAGGTAGAGTATACTTTTCATTGTGATCTGAATTGATGCCTAATCATTATCAATTACCTGTGTGACCCGTCCTTGAGCCAGATCGAACAACTCCAGTAGACGATAACATTTCAATAAACGGTTCAACCTGAAATATCAAAATCACAATCTGTCAGCACAAGAGTGCTGAAAGAGTGAAGCTTATTCGGAAATGCTTTTTCACATCACAGTGCCACTCCGTCTCCCCCCCCCCCTTGAATCAGCCAACTTCCTTCGTGATCAAGAGAAAGTCGTATATTAGTCAGCTAAAGGGGATCGATTTTGCTGGCTCCGCCCAATTAAAGACGGTGGTCGCCCATCGATATTTATAGAAGCCTTTCCGCAGATGCGCTTGTCCCGCCGATTCCGCGGGATCGGAGGCTGTGAAGGGAACTTTATGCGTTAGTGCAACTCATTCAGCGTGGAGACATTTCGAGGAATGACATGAAAGCAAAGACAGGGGCATGGGCTTCTAATCGTATGGAAGGTGGTTACATTCAGCTATGTATTCGTGAAATTGGCCCGACCACCGACAGAAGAGAAACTCAAAAAATAAAAAGGAAACTGAGTGGACAAAATCAGCACTGGGTTGTCGAATCGGGCGTCATACAAGAAAAGTGCGGTGCCAAATTTATTCTGTGCTGGACCACAATGGTTGCACACAATGGTGCACCCGAAACAGCATGTGGAACTTTAGCTCAGAGGTCCGAAGAAACAAGAATGGAAATAGGTTGTGGCCGACGAGGGCTAAGGCTAAAAATTATGAATTATTTAGACGAGAAAACTTACAAATGGCGCATCCGGCACCGTAGACAACTTTTTATTACGCACCCCCTCAATTATTCTAGACATTTCATGGAAACAGTCGTAAGACGCTTTTAGTAAAAGAAGCCAATATCAACAAAATTATTGTAAATTTACATGAAAATTCTAACTCCACAAGTAACACCCATAAAGTGAACCACTAAAAAGTAGGTTGCAGCTGTCAGTCAGAAGGCCAACAACTGTCTCTTGTAAGATTGGTTTCTTGTGACTTCTCCTTGGGTTGCTATAGAATTGGTGAGGATGACGACTCGAATGCAAATCCCTTTTCTCACCAATTTAGACTTCACAAATCAACATACAATGTGTGCCACAAGGAATGTCCGACAATTCCCCCCCCCCCGTCCCCCGCCGCCCTCCCCCTCCCCTAATTATTGGAAAGCTTACCAGTGAAATGCGATTGCAGCAGTCAGTTCTTCATCTTTCTAACAACATATTACTGTAAACGTGAAGGTTGTTTTGTTGTAACGTGAAGCCCCATCAAGATGACAACGCTCTGAGATTTTAAACTTAGTGCTACAAATATCCGAGAGGGTGGGCTACCACCATTTTTGCTTTTGCTTTCTAGGCTCTTCGAAGACATGAGGCGCGATAATTCGGTATTCGGTCTAAAATGGTAGCAGGGGTGGTACATAGTGGGGAAAATGGCGAAAAAACGAAGTGAAACTGTCAAAAACCTGCGGAAAAGCCTTTGTTCACACAATTCAAAAAGCAGCTCTGGACGAGTTTCCTGTTGGCATCGCGCCAATCACCGCTACGGTAGATACTTCTGCATGTGTGTACTCACATTATATATTTATGCAGCACCGCAGCCTTTTCGTATCTACCCCTTCGCTTCACATTGTACTTCGCAAAGAGCTGCAAGCAATGCAGGAAGCGATAGAGCATCAGCATCGATCGGACATTTATGGGCGGGCGGGCACGTGGGGGAGGGTAGGGGGCGTGTGGTCGGTATGTTGCAGGTTAACAGGGCGCTATAAAGGCACCTTCCTTGAAAAAGGCGCCACGCAGCGCCTGCTCAGGGGCGCCGAATTCTGTCTGCTAGGCGTTTTAATCCTACACGTCTATTGATTTATCGTGCCACCTGCCTTTAACGCAGAATGTTCTCCTGTTTGTTGAACCTCCAATGTCATAAATTTTTGCGCATTGAATTTTTCATAGCTTACCTGAACACTGAGGCATCAAACTGAAGAAGTAGGAAGAGATCGGTAGGAAGTATCGAGACTATATCTAATGAGAAGTTGATGCTAAAAAAAGTAAAAGTAGAAAATTGGAGAGTCGCGGTGAAAAGGCTGTTCGACTCACTTGGCAAAGTAGTTTTTTCGTGTTTCGGAGATATCTGACACTTTACAGCCATGCTCATAGAAAACTGGAAATATGTTTAGGGATTGGTGATTGGCAACGTTCCCGCGCTTCTGCAGGTCAGGGCACATTGTTGTTGGGGATACCCTAAGAAGGGAGGGGGTTGTATTCGGTTGGTGGGAGAGGGGAGGTCGTACTCGGGCTTAGAAAATTTTCTTCGATATTCAATTTTGCTTGTTCCATGAACGTAGTAAAGGGAAAGGACTGTATTTTTTGTTGTTTGGAGGGAGGGGTCATTTTCCCTTCCGGCCTTACCTTCGAGAGAGGCTGCTGACATTTCGTGTTCTTACTTGTTTCATGCGGACCACACCCCCCCCTCGACAGCAAAATTTTTGGGTAAAGGAAGGGAAATTTCCGAGAAATTACCGGAAAAAGCGGTAAAAAGTTGGGGAAATTGGAATAAGAATTGGAATTAGAAGAAAGAACTGGTAGCGAAGGGGTCGTATGGAGCAAACCAGAGGGGAGGGGGGAGAGGGGGCGAACGTACGGACTTGACCAAAACCCCAACTAATGATGTGCCCCTGTTGCAGGTAGATAAGTGCGGCCTTACTTCGAAGAAATAAATGCAAACTATATGTCAAGTCTGGCGGTACTTCAAGCTGATCATAGAAACTCACGCATTCGTGACTGAATCCACATATCTAACAAGTAAATCACATCGCATATTATGTTGCCGATGATCCACTGAGTGTAGAATCCGTCACGGATATCTTCGAAAACAATTAGAGTGATGAAAATTAGATTATAGAAGCACGCGACGGATACAACGCATGACCAGTACAAGTAGATACTGCCTTTAGGATTGATGCTCAGGATCATACCTGGAAGCACTAGTATTAAGCAATTCAGGTCTGTAGCAATCAACGGCATTTTTCTAGCCATTTACACACGATAGAATCGTGACATCTTTGCCACTGCGCGACTCACACTAAAGCGGGTTGATGTGTTTTCCACTTCACGAACTGATTCTCTATATCGATGTCAGAGAAAGCTGCGACAATACTTTTTCGGTCTCCTCTTCCCTGTAATTCATACATTTCACTTCGTAACTCTGGTAGTAATTTATTACACTTCATATTTCATTAATATTGAGTTATTGTATGTAACACTTGTCAAGCGAGAATGTCAAGTGGAATTGTTCATCTACTGGCACACTGAGTTTTAGTTGTCCTAACAACGTCTGTGCTATAAATAGAGCACGTCCTGCCGCTGACTAAAATTTCAAGGGAATACGACCCCGCTCCCGCATCCCAATTACCATGGTGTCACCTTTTCAAGATATCCCAGCACTTTTTTCCAAAACTTCCCAAAAATTGTCCACGCTCTTCCCAAAATTTAGCCGTCGAACGGGGGGGGGATGGGGGAAGGAATGCGGGAGAGTAGCACCAGTGAAACGGGAAAAACTACGAAAAGCTCACAACCGGAAGAAGGTAGCGCAACAAATTCCTCTTAAAGGCACATTCCGCGATAAAATAAGGCTATGACCTCTCAAATGTGTCGGACGATCCGGAAGGCGATTTTTGAGGCTGCGCTACTTTCAAAATGTGAAAAACGGCAAGAACTCCGCTAGAAGCTGACTAATTAGGCCCATGGACACCCCTTAGGCCCATGCCGACCCTCACCGGCTGCTAGCTACTAGCTAGTAGCCACTATGTTATCTTTCTCTATAACATTTCGGACTGCTTCTTTCTGCTGCTTAGCTCATTGAGCTACCATGGTCAACCCTGTCAATGTAAGTTCGTGAAGTGGCTACCTAAATGGGTGGGCACGTCGATTGGATCTATCAGAAGTGTAAAATAACAGCCTCATGTCACGGAACTCCCTCCGACCTCTCTCTCTCCCAGCGACGGGCAATTACGATGGTCTTTTTGGTTCGGCGCAAAACAGGAAAAATCAAAACCAAAAGAAAATTCTCAGACCAAGTACGCCCCCACTTCCCCGCTGGGGATTCACCAACGTAGGACGTGCCCTGGCTATGAATCATCAGACGTTGAGACGCTGTCAAACACACTATCAATAAACAATAAAATCAATTAAACAGCAATATATCATAATAGCGTACCTTCACAGTTTCTAAAAGTCTTGCAGCGCTAGTCATGCAACAATGGCGGGAGTGAAGAAGCTCTTAGTGGGTCAGTGAAGAGAATTCGGATGAGCACTGACGACCGTTTCCATGGTGAGGTGGGATAAGTTCGCGATAATCGCGCCCGGCGATCCCTCAGCGCTGAACATTTCTCAATTTGCGTTCACTGGCCTAATACAGGGAGTATAAATCTAATTATACCTATAATATGGTAAGTAAGCTCTAGTTCACTACGGAAGGAGTGTGTTAGACATTATGAGCGCGCCACGGCGTCAAACTCGTCCTCTGCCAGCTGTTGAAGCGGACATGCGACAATAACTGGTAGAAAACGGGCTTACTATGGTACGATGGCACCTCGTTAATGATTTCTCGCACCTAGGGTGCAGGGCATCATTAAGGAGGTGCGAAGTAACCTCATTAAGCACTGAACTGTCGTGCTTGACTGCGAAGTGACATCACTCCATGGAAGGTCATTAAGCCACCCAAATCAGCAATAATCCATGAAAGTTTTCACTAGTGCGGGTAAAGAGGTTGTTATTATTGGGTTGGCCCATAAGCGATGGCGTTTTTTTTCCTTACTCGTAATTTCGCGCTGAAGATGACAAGTTTTGCTATAGTGTCTTATACCGTTTTGCAGAGAATTGCCTGCCCTATAAGGTGATCCTCTTAGTTATTTTGAAGATTATGTTGTCACCGGTTTTTGAGTGCTCAAACTGGAGTGTCAGGTCGACGAAATGGAGCATTTTCGACAGCCACTCCTTTTTACACCTAATCAAAAGCTCAAACCGCACAGGCCTACTTGTTAGGTATACGGCCGGATAATTATCCTCTTGGAGATACTAATGAGGGTTTGAGCGTGTCGAATATTTCAGTTGAGAATTCACAGACAGGCATCGAACCTAATGCCCACTGAGCCCAGGAGAGAGCATAATGGATCAGCTGGTGAGGAGATCCATGCCAAAGAATGTTATTTCTTAGAAAGAAGAGGTCTTTAAAGAAGTCATGGAATGTTTCCACATCATTATTGAACACATTCTCAATTCATATGAGAGGTTCAAAACTTGGTGGACAGGTCCTGCGGATAGTGCGCCATATGCAATGCACATTCACAAGGCCTGAATTCCCATCACCTTAGCACCTGGACCCACTTCGAGCCGGCATCATCCCATGGTCACATATACCACAAGTTTTCTTTCCGTGATTTGAAAGAGCCTAGATTGAGTGCAAAAAGTGGCTGTCGAAAACTCCTTTTTGCGCCGACCCGACACTGCATTTCAATGGAATAGAAATCTACAAAAATCAACAAAGTAGGAAGACAGCCAAACTGGCCCTGTAGAGCGAAAAATTGTCTATCAAGTGACGACAAGTCACGTTGGGAACAGTTTCCACTTTCCATGTGAAATTTTGTGTCAAAGTGATGCTAGCGCACATATCTGGTGATATTCTAGAACAGGTGGTTATGACTCTTCTCCTTAGTTAGCTAGGTACTCATGATCCTTCTTCATCATCCTTCTCTTTCAGAATGTTTCCAGTTCACCCTTTTGTGCCTATTTGTAACCGTACCGATGACGTCAGTGAGAGATCAGCAAGCGAATGAAATGGCGTATAGTCTCGTTCAGCCTAGTTCGGCGTGGACAAAGGGACGTGTCAGGCAGTTTGAGTGTTCCGCGGCACAAAACACTTTCTCTGCCAGTTTTCGAAGAGGGTATGCGAGAACAGGATATTATACAGTCTCGTCGCTTGCTCGCTTCAACAACTGTGGACAATGGGTTTGGCATTGTGCCAAACTCATCCCGTCCGACGGTTACGGGCTTTTGCCAGCCAGATGTGCTCTCGCTGCGAGGGCTATTTTTTTTTCGAGGCATGTATCAGTCCAGTAGTTGAAGGGAGGTAAAGGAGGAGGGATCAGAGAAGGAAGGAAGGAAAAGAAGGAAGGAGGAAGAAAAAAGGAAAGAGAAGAGAGGCTTCCCGGTTGACAAGTGCCCTGAGACGCCCGCCTGACATGCCTGTTTGTCCGCCGCGAACTTGAATATGGGCGTTTTTGCATGCTATGAAATTTCTTCAAATCTCGAAATAACGAAATTTTGCAAAGTAATTCATAGAAATTTCTGGAAATGGGGCGTGAACAAATGGTGACGTGCCATTCTAAGAATTGCATTCGGTAGAGGCAGATTGGAGAGTTAGATTTTTAGACCCGAAGATGCAGCAATAACGACACTCACGTACCTGCACAGCATAGCCCCTGCAACAGCAGCTACTTTGGTCCTTTTCCATATTCTAATCTTGAAATTAGTCTTTAAACCTTTCCTGAGTTCGAAATTCAAGTGAACAAGGAAACAGAAAAGTGCGCGGAAGAAAAATCGAGAAGCGTACTTCTTTTCTTCTCGAAACATTAGTGACGTTCGAGGTACTTCTTATGGTTATCACGTGTGGGACTTCAAGACCATTCTGTTTAGTGAAGCACCTCGGAGGTCACTCATCAGGGTGGTCGAGCCGCACTGCGGTGGCTGAGATCAGGGCTCTGATGAAGGCGAAGATACCGAAACGTCGGTCACATGAAGCGTTTCAATCTTGTCAAAGACACACTACATCAAAGAAAATGTACTACAGGAATTACATTTGCATATTCGAACAATAACATTGAGGACTGTTGTTTTCTAACGTGTTGTTTACTTATTTCGACGTTGCTGTAGATCATTTTTAGAATATTTTTTTCTCTGAAAGTTTCAACACTCACCAATTACTTTGATATCTACTTGCTTAGCCCATTGGAATGCGCTGATTCACAAATTCCTTTGAAAAAAAAACGATGCCAAAGAATCTTGTTACTCTACCGGATCTTCCACTTGCACGTTGACTATCACTTGTCGGCCGATAGTGACCTGACCTCACCGGAGGCTTCGGGTTAGTATTGACCGACAAGCGACACTCACTGTTACTTTGCAGTTACTTTGATTCTTTGGTATCTCTTATTTGAATGAATTTATAAATACATGACTGCACGACTACCCTGGGAATAATCTTAGAGACATCACTTAACACATTCATAAACATGTAATTGATTTGACCGGCATTTGTAACGGACCTGAGGCTAACTAGTTTTTCGATGCAGTATTGCTTCTCACCCTTCCGCCAAACCTCAAAGTGCTGGGGTATTCTTTAGCGTGGGCGGCGACATGATTAGCTGTGTCTAGTCTTGCTCCCACTTGGCCCATCGGAAGGATGTACCCACCTGTCTGAGTGTTCGCCTTTCTCATTTACTTTTCATAACTCTCAAGAAAGCTATGTCCTTCCCAAAGCATTAGAAAATTTAAAAACGGGTCCAATATCAATGCAGAAGCGGCGTATTTAATTGTAGTAATCTTCAAAATTCTGCCCCGGCAACGAGTTTAATCAACCAACTCTGTTTTTTAGATTAGCTTTTTTAGGTGTACTTGATTAAAGCAAACAAAATTTCCGTGCGCTTTGAAAGTTGCAGGTAAAACTACTAAGAAGCGTGCGTTCTGGGCTTGTTCCAAGTTTTTTTTTCTGCTGCTGTAGCTCTTCAGATGGCTCGATACGTCGATGGGGAGTAGCAAAAGTGCAGAATGCCCCCGTCGCCGAACCGCGCCGATAGGAGCTATTACCATTCAGTCATATCTGCAGTTTTTCAGAGAAAGTAATTCAGTGGTGTAATTCTACGTCGTGTATGTTAGAGAGAATTTGGAGGTAAAGAAGGATTCCAAAGTTGAGGAGA